TCTATACGCCCACCATATACGTACAAAATTAATATTATTTTTACGTATACCTACGCATTTCTTTATAAATATATTGTTATAAGCAAATAAACGCTGTGTGGGTACACCCCATAAACGTTTCAATACATCTATTTGTACTTGATTACACTTTGTTTGTATTAAAAATTTCCAAAAATCAAATTTTGAATAACCACATTATTGAAGAAAAAGGTCTGAACATAATTGGCTAATAATCACCACGTTTAATTTATATAAATTATTAACATCCGCTTCGTCATATTATCAAACACGTATTTTATCATATAATATAATATATACATACGACGGACGTTACAGTATAAATAATCRGCATGCGATAATTGCTTGAATTCGGTAATTTAATTTTTTTTTTTAAATTTTGAGTTATTTCATTAGTTGTACTGAAATAATAAAAAGATACAACAATATAATTACACATATAGTATATTGTTGTTATTATTATGAATATTGACTATTTTTCAATGAGATATACCATGCATTTGTCAGTACTAAACAGTACACACAYATCTTATTTAATATTTATATCTTATCAAGTAATAAAAAAGATATCGTTAGGATAGACGTAGGTAGGTACCTATTAGTACATTACAATAAATTCATAACCTTAAAAATGCACAAATTCCRTATAAAATGTATAACAATTGTTTAAGTGGCGCCATAATTACAACCTGCCTAGCTTACAGAAGTAAACATCGAATAATTTTGTTAGATTTTCATAGTTGCAATTTAGTATTTGTATCACTTAACATCAAATTTATAAATATGTATTTTATTATTATATATATATACAATCTCGGCCCTCGGGTGGGTATAAAATAATTAAAATAATTTTCCATCACACGAGATTCTGGTCTAAAAATAGTTTACATTAAAATAATAATTGATTGTTGAATTTGAAATTGTGTTTGACAATTTTATTTATAACAAAGAACGTAGGCAGTATTTACCTAATTGTTTGTATAAATCGTTAAATTACGAATTATCATAAATCATGAATGGTTATTTAAATTTTTAACCAAAATTAACGTAACCTACAACAAGTCTACTTAAATCAGTATTCAATTAAGTTGTTTTTTTAAAGAAGTTGTTCATCAGACAATATAATTTTGTTCAAACTTTTAAAATAAAAAATGTAATTTTTCCACTTATTGTTTGAATCATTATAATAAATTAAAAAACAGAATTGTGGTAATTAAATGGTAATTAAATACAATTAAAATAAAAGTTTTCATTCATATTTTATTAGATTCGTATTTAAAATTAAAAAATTGATAGAGACCTTGGTATAAAAAAAGTTAAGATTTCTGTACACAAATGTATTTACTGTACAGGACATTTTGTTTGTGAACACTTTATTTCATATGATAAATTAATATATTGTGTTAGGTTAAATCTGACTATCGATCATCTTTGTAGAAAGCATAACAACATAATATTAATTAATTGTCAAATCTTTAAATCACGTTAAATCTTTATCTACGATAGTTTTGTTTTAAATCGGATATCCTAATACTTTATAATATTTATCTGTCGAATGCCAAAGTTTTTTGTGTATTTCGTTGAACCCAAAAGTTCACCTCCTATATCTTCTGAGAGACAACTAGYGATCATCGTTTGGTTCTCCGACGATATATTTGTATATTTGTCTTCCATCTAACCTAACTTACACATAAAATATGCAACACGTRTATGTTTGTATAATTTATTTGTAACTCCACCTAAATAGGTAAGTGTTACCTGTATATAAACTCATAAAACAAATTATGTAAATCGACCGTCTATTTGTTTTAATTTTCTAAATATGATGTTCATATACCTACATTTGATCCAAAAACTTAATATTTCATTTATATTTAAGTTGAGTAATAAATTATTTTTAAAAGGTTTATTTATTATTTTATGAAAATTCTACCATAAAACTAATTAAGTTTTACTGTGTTTTCTTTTTAAATAATGGAAAAAGCTTAAAAAGAAGGACAAATTTATGATATCACCGTATATTTTTTTTTGTTACGCATTAATAATATTTATGACAACGTAACTATATTTACCAAAAAATAAATTTCTACGATATTCTTACATATCTCATATAATTTGAAAACCGTAATGATTTTAAAACGGGACTAAGTATAGGWCATGAAACAAACGTTGGATTGACTGCAGGAATCCGAATTTGATCATTTGGAGTACTATGCATATTACGTATATAGAAACAATATTAAGTAGTGCAGTATAATAATTTACTATAATTATCAAACACGAGTTTAGGATTCAAAATTATAAAAGAATGAAAATATATATAGGTACCTTTGTTTTCTAAGATAAAATCAATATTATAACTAACTTAACTTAATATGTTAAATTTTAAAACACTTTGCTTACATGTTTTAATCTCACGCAGTCAAAAGTTAGTTATATAAATCAGGTGGAATWTATGATTTGTTTAATAGTATTAAAAATGCAATTGAGTTTTCAAATTATTACTTAATTAGTGTATCTAGGGCTGATAGGTTTAAAACAGCCAGAATTACCAACGAAATTATTAGGTTTTAGAACTTATAACAAATTAACAACATTATTGTAGAGGTATATTGTAGAGCCTTAATTGATCGATATTTGAATATCTATATTACATTTAGGTACTTATGTACTAGATAATGTATAATATATAGCGTTTCATGAGCAAAACTTCTTGATATTAATATATTATCCATCGATTAGGTTTTAGTATAAATACTACTATACTTTACATAAGCAAATATATATAGCCCGTCTGGTCTGAGTGGTCTGACTATAGGCTGCATGTATGTTTGAATCAAAATAATTAATCTTACAATGTATGCTATAAAATCAAATTATATCAGTTAATCAAATTCGTTTTTTTTCGATTAAAGTTTAGGCGTATTAAAAAAAATTGACTTTAGCGTTTATAAATATTATTACAAATTTGTATATCAATTTACAAGATCTAGAAACATAATACGCCACTACGTTTAACCTATATATTTAATAATTKGTTAAAATAAGCTACGGGTTATATACTATGTAAGTATATTAGTTCTTAGAGCATATTCATTACGTATACCTATATACGTAYGTTCATTCAAGTGAGCTATACATTGTATTGCACAAGGGAAACTCGATCTCGTCTTAGAAACACGCTGAACTACAAACTGTATGGACTTTTCCGGTAATATAAGAGTTTATAGAAAGTTTATAAACATATTAATRTTATATATTACATGCATATAATATACGTGAGTGCGTGCGACATACATGTGCAGAAACTATCAAAAATATGTCAAAGGTCATAGATTTATGAAATATAATAAAAGAGCGGAAAACATCGTTTAAAAGTTAAAACTATGAACGCATAAAGTCAGTTTGCTTAGTGGGATTCCGCCAGCCTACACTATATATTATTCAAAACTTTGTACACATTAGTCACTGAGCGCTTTATGCGGATTAAATTTAACGCAAGTCAAACAACAATTGTATTTCTTTTTAAACGAATGTGCATCTGAGTTATGCGAACGTGTAATAAAATACTATTTCGCACAGTCGACCATGCAGCTGTGTAAAAACAGCAAAACATCTAAACTGCAGGCAGGTTTTTCAGAATCTCCGTGATTTCGTAGCCACATATAGGTACATTTTCGGAATCGTAATTACAACCGATTTTCTATAATATTATATTATTATATTATCTAGCAGAGCATTAATTCTATGTTACTATGTTCATATAATCACCCTCTAATTTTGTTCCACGTTGTTGACCGAAAGCAATCCATAAAATATATTATTATATTATCAGTGCCATGACCAGAAATTTTTTTTTGGAGGAGCAGTGAGCACTTAATCTTTTTGTCCTTTGGTTAATGTCGTATTATAATACTCAACACCCGTTATTTGATGACACCATTATTCATAAAACACATTTTTCGAATGGGGACTTAACCCCCCTCCCTCTACAGTGTCCTTTAATACTGCTAAGGCACTGCAGGAATATACAAATATTCTGTGTCTGCAACAAACACTATAAATCAATAAGATTATTTTCGTACATTAATTTTTTAATACAAACGATAGTTGAGTAAAAATATAATATTATGGCGTTTTGAAAATCAATTTTATACTTACATGGATACATCGCATTATAATAAAAAGCAACTAAAACTATACATTTTTTTAAGCAAAATATCCATTGAAATGTTTCAGCTGGATTTTTTTCGAGCCATGGCAGTTAACAACAACATAATGGTACGACTGTTGATTATAGAGATCACGTTTTTGATATTAGCCGTCGTCAACTCATACCCAGCKTTTGGAGATAACGAATTTAAACATAAAATCAGAGACAAAGGGAGAAGTATAAGAGGTTTCAAAAATATGGACTTATCTACAGCTAGAGGGTTTGGTAAACGAACCGACCATTACATGAATTTAATGCCATTGGATTTATTTTTGAACAACAAAGAAGATAGCTACAATCAAAAGTAAGTTTTCTTCGAGTGTATTGAATATGACTGGATATGAAAATTGTTAGCTTCACAAAATTACGACTAGGTCGTCTTCCGAAATGTACGTAACAAAAATAGTTATCACAGGATATTAGGTTCTCTTTATTTTTGTGATGATCTAACATTTACGATACTATTTTTAGTCTCAACACTTAATTAGAAATAAGTAATATTGTATTGTATTTTCATCTCATTTTATAAAGGTACGCTTAGGTATATAATTACCCCAAATTTGTCCTATTAATTTGTTTTGAAGTATAAGAATGATCGTACGAAGCGTGAACCAACGCATGTACTGATTTCACAACAAAAATAATTCCAACTCTACGATTGATACATTGGAGGTATTTGATGTACTATAATAATGACCTAACAATTGAAAAATAGAGCGTTTTGAACACAGCAATTTCTTTTCAATTAGAAGTTTTAAACGAAAAACCTCACCATGAAAACATACCATAATATCTAAGTTTTTAAAGTTGAACCTAAACTTATTTAAAGGAGTTCGAACCTTTAAAAATAAACTGTAGCATGATAATTAATATATATATATATATATATTTCAATACCTAGTACCATGATGTATATTAGATATAATATTTCAATGACTATAATTGGTATAACCTACCTAACTGTTTACATTATTTAATGAAAATTATTTACTCTTTTTAAAATTAATTATTTTCTTAATACAATCAAATTAAAATTATTTGAGTAATATGGTTCATTAAGCCAAATACATTTTGGAATTAAAATAAATATTATTTGATGATGATCGAACCGTATATCCCGGCAATGATAAATTCAAATGATCAAAACTCAAATATGAAATATCATTATAGTTACCTACTTACTATATATCCTAGTGTTATAATAATATATGAAACAATAACACTAGGTAATTAATTTTGATGACTAGAAATTATTTATTTTTCCCTTCTTCGTTAAGATTCGCGTTATCATGAGACCATAATATAATTGTCAAATATTAAATATATTATACAGTATACACCATTTTACTTTACTTTTTGATTCAATTTTTTAAATTACTTGATTCTTCTTATTAATCTTAAAAATTATATAAATAAAACCCTACAGCTTTAACATTATTAATGTTGCATATTATTTTATAAATTTCTGAAACAAAAATTACTTAATTACAAAAAAAAAATGTTGGAGTATTAATACGAGATTATTTAACTGATATTTTTTTTTTCATAATAGTTACACCTATATTTTTAAAAATTACGATACCTATCTTCTTATTTAGTAATGCTTATATTATAAAATAAGTTTTTTTCCTTTTACTGATCACAATTTTTTACAAGGTTCATTTTGATTTACTTATACCGAATAATGAATATGTAATTGTTTGTGATCGCTTAAGGTTTGATCATAACGTTAGATGGTGTTTTAGTAAATATTTTAATAGGTACCTAATAGAAAGATAAAAACTTTTCTCCCATATTTTATGAAGTTGAAAATGTAAATATTTAAAGAAAATTTTAAATTACCCATTAAAGAGTGAACAATTATTTTTAATCAAAAAAAAATAATAATAATAATAATAATATATATAAAAAGCATTTAAAAAGCATTTAAAAACAAGAAACAACCAAAAACCAATATTGTAAATAATATTATTTTATTATGATTCCAGGAAAAAATTTATGACAAAACAACCATTATTCAGTTATTCTCATAAAAAGAAAAATGTAAACCTTAAATTTATTGAAACTACAATATGTAGACATTTTTGATTTAACCCACAGTCTACGAATGTGTTTGAAATAAAACATTTTTTATAAATTCTCAAGTAGGCAAGTACCTACCTAGTAATAGATAAAAGTTATTAAAAAAATTTTTTTAACTATTATGCATTGGTATAAAAATTATTTGATTTCCTGTCAGTTGAATAAACTATATGATATATAATATTATTAGTCTAGTTATTTTTGTAATATGAACCTGATATTATTAATAAATTGTTTTCACTTTTAGTATTACACACTTTTTAGTGGTTACAGCTGCAGTACTTATAAACATAAGTGGGGAGGGGCTTGTTTCGCCTTGTTTATTTTAATGCATTTCACGGATTTTTATTATTTAAATTAGCAATATAAATGAAACTGCCACAAATTAGTTATTAGTTACTATTCTTCTAACTCTATAGGTAACTGGGCGCAATCGTCTTGATTGCTCACAAAACTGCTAAGTGGCCCCAAATAATATATTACTAGCAATAAAACTATATCATAATAACATTACTGTCGTGGATTCTATCTGTTACTCTGACATGTCAACCGCAGTGATAGTGATCTAGTATCCACGCTCAAAAAACACTTTCAGTTTATACATTCCAATACGCACTGTTATTTTTGTCATATATAATGCAAAGAAATAACTAGAAAATCCCACTGCCGAGTGTGTCAATATTTTAACGAATGGAAAATGAAGAATAACATTTTTTACTGACATATTTATTTTTTTGGTCCGTGTGGTTATCGTACTCGGACTGTTTGTAAAGGTCTAAATGAAAGTTTGCCGAGGAAAATAGAAGTGTGGGGCGAGGGAGTATACAGAATGTATAGTATTCCTGATATGTCCGGTCTGAAATATTATTTAATATAAAAGCAGAAAAACGGCGTAACCCACTGCAGCGGCATATCTATTGGTCGAGAATAATGGACTGTGTGGTACAATCTAAAATATAGATTATATAGTCCCACACACGCCGAACTGTAGCAACTATATTATAACGGCTACACGGTACACGTTCCATTTGCGCATAGTGTTTTTTTTTTTTTTACTATTTTATTTACACAGAGATTGAAATCCGTACGGTTTTCGCGCGAATTAAAATGAATCACTTCGCGTACATGAAAATTCCCGGTTACCGTCGTAACACGCCACCCTCCCTTCYGAGGTGATATATATCAATTGTCCGTTTCTTGTTTGACGTCAAACGATATCTACACCACTGGAGTTGCGTACAACAAGTGGGTTATGCCGAAACAACCGAGTGATATCTCATTTGTAAAAATACTTCATAAGATACTATAGGTACCTTCCTATATATACATATAATATATGTGTATCGTGTATGAAAGAAATATTGTTTTTAAATATTTTACTCAATACATACTCGTAAGATAGTAATAACAATAATACGCACTATATTATACTTCGGAGTTCATTGTTCATGCGAGTTAATGACATTTTTTATAAATTAAACGAAAAATATATAATACATAATATTATATGTCACATTTTGGGCAAAAGCAAAAAATTTTGATTTGTTAAAAATCAATAAAATTTGTGTAAAATAAAAATTTGGATTTTATATACAATATTCATAATAAAAATTATGAAATGATTAGACAATACAGTAAAACTTTGGTAAGACGGAAACCCTGATAATAYGAACAATTTCTTTTGTCCCGATTCAATGTGTAATATACATAATATATATTCAATTGATATCACATATCCTATATACCTAGTCTAAAAATATAATTTTTATTTATTTATTCGATAACGAACAACGATACTACTTATTTCAGAAATGTAAATGAAGTATTAGTGTGTATCTATATAGAGGATATAATTTTATTATTTATTTATTTTATACCGAAATATKTATGTCTCATGTTTCAAATACCCTTCACATACAATAACAATTCATTTGATATGTATTTTATTATCTTACATATTAAAATGACAAAATACCTATACCTATTTAATAAATGAAATATAAAGTAATATAATATTACTTGTTCACAGTATACCGATGGAAGTGTATTTGGAAAAAATACTGAAGAACAAATACAATAATTTTATTGAAAAGCTAATCGATTTCAACCATGACAATTATCTTTCCGGAGAAGAATTGCTGCAGCCAATTGAGGGCGAATCATAATAAGAAGTTATATATAAATATGAATTATATATATTATTAAAGTCAGTTTCACTTACAAATAATTTGGTTGTAAATGTCTTCAAAATTAAAAAATATATATATTAATGTAATTGTCGTTGTAGCGAATTTGTTTTATTTTAAGTGGAAATGTACGAAGGTACTTTAGTTTTATTATTGTAATAATAATCAACCACCATTTTATGTAGTAGTACCTACCTATAAAACATTGACTTTTCAAAAATTAAAATTGACACTCAAGATGAAAAACAGGATCTATATCCTATAGGTACATGAAATATTTGATGGCTGTTAAAATATTTTTTATGCTTAAAAAATGCTAAAATATAAATATATATGTATTCTGAATCCTCTGTTTTTATACATCCATATTATGATCATTCCAAACATGAAAAATTGTTCGTTTACATATAGGTAACGAATATGTATTAAATATTTTATATATATATTTTAATTGGCATATAAAATAATTACAGATGTTTTATAGTTTAAAAATAAATAAACAGAACAGGTTCGATACATGTTAGTCATATTTATGTTATTTACGCTTCGGTTGTACATAGATTAGAATAATATAATATAATATAATAATATAGAATGTTTTATGATTTGTTGATAACGTAATAAAAAGTTCGATGTAGATGAATAAAGAAATTATAGTTTGTAGTAATTTAATTGAAATTTTAAAATAAATCTTTAAACATCATAACTATTTTAATAATTGCATAACAAATATTCGTATTATAACAATAAATTGATGAAAATGTTCTCAATATTTTCTTTTTTTAAGTCAAAATAAAAATCTGTCTTTTACAATTGTGATGTATAATAATCTATGAAACACGTTTAAAATTATTCAGATCTCAAAAAAAAAAAACCTAATAATATTACTATATTCTGCATTGCCTACTTTGTATACTGTGTTTATTTGAAATTAATTTACATAGTCACATAGATCAAATGAGAAATTTACGTAAGATGTACGAACGCAACGTTTAATAAAAATTAAAAACACAACAAAATATACGATATAACTGTAATATCGACTGTAGAGTAATTTTGAAATTGGTGGCTAAAAACAATTTAGGTACCTAGGCATACTATATTATTTACAGGTAAGTATATTTGTAAATGTATTGTATATTGTACTCGTAATACATAAAATAACATTATTTTCTCAAAGCTTAAACTTTATTTASATATCAGCTCTGGATATCCTTAAAATATCCATCAGCCATAATAATTAAAATAGTCGGTCAACTTTATAGCTTGGTAACGTATTTTTAAGCATGCTATACACACATTTTCGTATTACGAAACGAGTAGGTGGTTGAGCAACTTAGTGGAATCACACAAGGAAGATAAACTCCTCAAAAACTATATTTTATGGTTAACCGGAAGGTAGTACGTATGTAATATAATATTGTTTATTTTATCGATTATCGTCTATCGAATATTAATTACAATACTAACTGTAAGTAATTTACTTTAAATTTGTTTAAAAATTTCATTTAATATGTGCCTWTACACTATAATATTAAGACATCGTAAACAATATAATTATCTATAGGCATACGTATATGTATATATTCATTGATTGTTTCTTAAATACATATTATTATTATTTATTATTTTATTATTCACCATTGTGGACTAGAAAAAATATTAACAATATAAAACGATTCATGTCTTCATGACCAAATTTATGATGTACAATTATTGAAATGAACATTGATGGATTATGGAGAAAAAATACTGTCCATTAATCATTTACTAGCTGAATCGTTGAGATGAAAAGCTTGAACACCACGGAGGTTTAAATGTTTAAAAGTTACTCATAAAATCTGTTTTAATACAGAATACAGTCACGTACCTATATTGTGTCGAGTTATTTATGATAACAAACTTACATTAACATTTACCGTATAATGTTTGTAATACAAATTCAACGATATTGTTATGCCTTGTATTATACATCAAGCTATTATCACACGGAAATACGTAGAAAAAAAATGTAATGACGATTTCATATATTTTCAAAACGATTTTGAAGTAAACCGTAAAAAAATAACACTGTATATACGCATATGTGCAGTAACAATTCGTATACCTAATACAGATACAGAGCGTTTCAGTTAATACAATATTACAATGAATTAAAGTTCAATACTTTTTTTATAATTTTATTGGAAAAACGTTATTAAAAATTACACAAAACTGTTTAAGTCTAGAATATTCAACTAACTTAGTTTTTTCAAACTTTTCATCACCTAATTTAGCTTCTATATTATTATGATACTTTATTTTTTAATTTTATTATTAATATAAATAACATAATAGTTTAACTAGTTAAGGGAAATTTGATGAATTTTAGAAATGTCTTCTAAAATTGTATTCTTTTGAAAATAAATAAAGCTACATGTTATATAACTTATTTTTAATCTTCTTTTCTATTGGAAGGTTAGATTTTCTTTTATCGCGATTACACTATATGGGGTTAATTTGACTGTCTATTGTTTAAAAAGGCATACCTACCTACATAGATAGGTAAGTGGAAAGGGAATATTAAAAAAAAATGTCTACTCATGCAAGTATAATAGATATTTTTGCTTTTAAGTTTAACGTTATTTTAAAGACTTATTAGATAAAAAAAAATACTTAAGATGTGTGGTAAGAGTTGTATAAATTTTCTTTATACAGTTTTACGCAAGTTTTTTCATGAATTTATTATTGGCTTTCATCTAATTCTTCCTATGCGTTAGTTTATGTGTTTTAATGATTTTAAATTCACGGAACCATTAAAGTTAACACTTATTACGTGTAAAATAAACCATTAGAATTATATGCACCTGTAGAGGACAACTTACTCTTCACCAAAGGTGTATTTTCAGGTATTATTTTGGGTATACACCTAAATTGGGAAATAGAAAATACATATAAGTAAACGGTAATGTAGATTATTACAATAGTTATGAACTGATTTGAATTGATACAAATTTATATTTGAGTATTGGTGTAATTGGTTGTCTTGAAAACCATAACTATATTTTTTGAGCTTAATTTGCTTCTAATTTGAAATATGTTCTCCATCTTTAGTTTTAAATGATTCCAACACTCTATAAGTATTTTTAATAAATTGATCTGTTTGTTTCTCTCCGACTCTGAACGATGAGAATAAAAAAAAACCGAAATTTTCGAATTATAAATAGTATATGAAAGTTATCATTCAACAAGCTACGATTATATACCCGCGGTATTATACTTTTATTTTATTTCCTATTATACGAGTTTAATAATTTTAGCGTTCTAAGCATACTTACGCCATTACTGAGTTACCTACGTCTGCCTTTACGTAAACTACTGCTTTCAACCGTTTAGCCTTATCAATAATATATGAACTGCAGTCTGTGGCTCTGTGCGTCCCCCACACATACTATGTTATCAAGTTCTAACATTGTTAAAAAGAAATCATAGATATACTAATATGTTTATAAAAGAAATAGAGATAGTTTAAGAAAATCAAAGTCTGTGTATTATATATAATATAATAGATTGATGGTTGTATTACACTCGATAATAAATGACGGCATGTTATCAATTTTAAATACATAAACGATTTTTCAACCAAAAATTGTAAATAGACACATATCTTTGCAGGTTGTACACGTATGTCTATTATGTGCATGTAAACTAGGCATGTCGAAAAGTTCGTATGCAGGAGAAAAAATGACTGCAGAAAAAAGAACACTCTGGATGATATAAATAATAGTATGGTTAATGACAAGTTGTTTGTTTTTCGGGCAGCCTGACAGAGGTGGTAAGGGATRGAAAAACTGCAAGAAAAAAACGAAAGAAAACACGCTCGTGCACCACTTCCCGAGTCAGGAAATGTAGGTCGTTTTGCAAAGGTTTTCGCGGAGGAAAACAGCACATTATTTACGCTTGCGACAGGCGGCAACCACGACGACGAGCGATGAAGATCTGCAGGAAACGTCGCGACATTGACGATATCTATAAAATATTATACATAGGTACAAGATATATTTTTAATGTTTTGCGACACAAATGGGCGAAATACATTATTTAGATTAATAACCTAACCTTACGTGGTATAAACCATTTTCGTCGCGTTCGAAGAACCCCGTACCTATGTAGTATGTATATTAAAATATATATAGTATATGTAGGTATTTGCAAGTTTTGTATAACGCGTCTAACGTTCGTCAATAGTAGTTTAGTCAAATGTTTTTTTACAGCAGTCTCGTTGTTGTCTGTCGGTGCTGATTACCATATACAAGATTATTCACCTCAAGCGTGTTATCCCCTTTTTTCGTTCTATATAGATACTACGTGTCCGTTCGACTTTTGATTTTGGAACGTCAAMATTTTCAGAAAAATTATCCCTTTGGTAAATAATTTACATGGGGTTCTCACTTMAAAATAATATAAGTTTGTATCATTACCGGAAGTAATTTATAAAATCCCAAATATTTKAAAATATAATGTTCATTAAGTAGATGGAGAATAATTTTTATTATTAAAAGATCTCGAAAATCAGAATTTGAATTAATTAACAATCATGGGGAAAATAGGCTTGAACAGTGTATGTATATAGGTATATATACTTACAGTATCTTATTACACACTTACATCTATATAGGTACGTTTAATACTGCAGTGCTTGCGGTACTGCTTGTTATATTTACACACACGCACGTATACACGTGAACCGAACGGTGAAATGAAATCACGTTTTGCAGCCATCAATAATAACGTCGTCGCACCGTCGAGTTTTAAGGATAAATGTTACTATCAATTATATTATACAACCGACGTCACAGTGGCTATATGCATTAAGAAGATAAGTGACTTCTACTCTCACCCGACAGACGATGATCGGAGGACTTGAATCGAGTCCTGACAAAAAATAGAAAAAAAATTTGGTAAAAAATGGTGATAATTCCGCTAAATATCGTTTAAAGTCAAAAAAAAAAAAAAAAAAATGATTTAATATAGATGTCAGAGATTATTCAGACTATTCACGCCACTGTAAAATTCAACCTGTTGAATCTGTGTAGGCGGGTATTATTAT